TTTAATTTTTTTTAGGGGAGAATTCTGGCTGCAAGGGGGGAGGAGAGTAAGATTCCCCCACTTGTTTGCTTCTCATTTCTCACTTCTGCGCATCGGAGATGCGCGCTGCAGGGATATTTGGGAATGCCGGGGATATTTTTCGGCATCCCAACGAGAATTTTGCCCCAGTCCACGGGTGGCTACATTCGGTCACTTGCGACACACGTGGTCCCCGAGGCGAGGTGTCCAAACCCTGCATCGGCCGAGACTGTAATCTCTCTCTCTCCGCGGGCGCGACATGGTGTCGTGGTGGAGCCAGATATGCACGCAGTCAGCGAATCCGGGGGCTCGATGTGTCCAGAGCCTCAAATCAGGACGAGGTTGGTGTCAGACGGGTCGCGTCTTGTGTATGTTGTGTCTCGCGAACAAGATGCAACTAACCACACTCGGTACATCACGGCCTGAGTCGCGCCCAACAGGAAATGGGGGGTTTGTGGCTGTTGGCTAGAGAATAGGTGATGGTTCTGCAGCGCCTTGCGTGGAAAATCTTTCTTGACCTGGGGCGTGGCGATCGCTCAGCTGCCAGGAGCGATAGGCGGTGTAGGGGGTTTACGGCGACGTGCGGAAGACGACATGGAAGCCAAATGTTTCGGGATCAGGGCACAATAACCAATGAGCGTGTATTTCAAAATCAACTCTAGTCACCAACCGTTGAGGCTGGCTCGAAACAAAGTTGCCTCGCGGCTTCGTGCGGAGTTACCCACAATGCAACCTCCCGCAAAGGCCCGTAATGCCTGCGCACAGCACTGCAGTGAAATCTGTTTACTCCCCACCCCCCCCAATTTCCATGCTTCCCTGCCCGTCCCTTCCCTTTCCTATTTGCCCTTTAGCCTCTTACACACAGCCCTCTCCCCTTGCTCCGAAGCGGTCTCGTTGTATACCGACAGTCTCCTTAATCGAGGCCCACTCCGCAACCGCAATTGTCCTCCTGGTCCGGCACCTGGTTCATGCCCGAGGGCCCGCCGGTCCTCTCCGAGGGGACTTGAGGCTGCTGAACTTCGTTGCCGCCTCTCTTGTTCTGAGCTTCGCGTTCCACTCGCTTGAAGATGGCTCGGATTTCGCGGATCTGAAAATACCTAACCGATAAAACGGCCAGGCCCAGGATCAGGACGCCCGCGGCGATAGTGGAGTAGACGGCGATGGCGACGCTCGCGAAGTTCGTGTAGACGTCAACGTGGTAGGCGTCGTCGGCGTGGCCGGCCTCGCGCAGGACCGCGGCCCAGCTCAGGTCGCGCACAAAGTACCACGGCGTCACCGTGGGGGGCAGGAGCAGGGTCGATGCGAGGCCGATTGTCAGCACCTTGGTGAGGCGCCCCGACTCCTTCGGGTTACTGCGCAGCCCGTGGGAGCTGTATCTGGTCACGGCCGCGTTGCCAGCCATACCGAAGAAAGAGAGTACGATGACGGCCACCGCCCACTTCCAATTGGTGCCGTGGCCTTCGAGGTCTTTGAAATCGCTGAGCCATCTGAAACCGACGATGATGGTGTACAGACTGACGGCCGTCGCGGTTGCGAAGAAGAGAGTGACGATAACACGGAAAGTTATGTGCGCCCCAAAGACAGCATTTTCGCGTTGACGTTCGGAGAAACCCATGGTCAAAACAATAGACTCAAGCTTCTGAGGCGGATGTAAAAGTCGCAGACCTGGGAAGCGGGGCAGACACGTGTTCTGCTGGGTCGGAGTAGACAATTTAGATGTGTTGTAGAGAACAGATGAGAAAAAAAGAGAGAGGCCAATTGGGTGTTGCAGAGCCTGTCGGTGCTTTATACCTCTCCAGTCAGGGGGGGAAGGGGGGGGGGGGGGGGCATGTGTAACAATTGCGCCCTGCATGGGTGAATATGCAAGAGCTGCGCCCGGCATAGGTCGCCGAAATCTGCCTTGAGCTCTGGTTCGCCGGGCGACGTGACAGCGCCCGGCGGTGTAGTGGCTGCCTGACACTTGGTCGGGGTGGGTAGGACAGGAAATCTATTTTTGCACGTTTCCACTTCTGTTGTGTTTCTTTCTTGCCCCCATCAGCCTCATCGGGTACCAAGTACGTTACACATTGGCCAACATTGTACCGTCTTGATGTTAAGTGAACCAAGCAAGGAACGAAACGTGTCGTGGCAGCCCCGGGATCGGCTGCAGGGGTGTGACACGCTGCCAATGGCGTCTCGGTCTCTTCATCTCGACGCGTCGATGTCTATCTGCCGGCTATTTCTGGGGAGCATGGTGCTTGTCTCTGCGTTCTTCAGAGGATCCTGGAGGTAAATCTGAGCTGGAATTCCATGAGTACTAAGCTTTTGAATCTTGCTGCCCCTCATTTTGCCGAAAGCTCGTGGGAGAGGCTATACACTCTAGTCACCCTGCTGCTCATGCTGGTCTCGACTGCGGTGAGTCTGTACGTCCCACAACTCTTCGGCGCCCTTCTCCCAGAGCGTCTTGGAGGCGGATGCGCTTGGGGATCCCTCCCCATTCTGCAGGACCTTCGGCCTACTCACGGTCGTCGGAATTAGCAACTCGTTCATCCAGAGGGTGCGGCAGTTCCTGTGGAAGAGGTTTACGACCGAGCGCGAGGACCGTGTGGTAAGCATCATTCACGCGCACTTGATGCACCACGATGCACACTTTTTCGACGGAACCGACAAGTCCGACGTGATCCTGTTGGTCCAGCTGGGCCATAAGGTTTGCAGCACTCTCGACTTTGTAGTCATGGAAATGCCGCCGTCCAGCTCATCGGCGCCGGCTTCGCCGTCTCATGGCCTTCCCGCGCATTATGACGTACGGAGATGAGAGCCTGCACCGCCCCGCGGGCGACATTGATGTCAACAATGTGTCCTTCAGCTACGTTGGCGAGAAGGGCCCGAAACGCGTCTTCCGTAGACTCAGTCTGAAGATCACCGGTGGCCAAGGCCACAGCCATCAACGTTCCGTCTGGGTCTGGGAAATCAACCCTCTTCCAGCTCGTCCGGCGCATGTACGATCCCAGTGAGGGCTCCGTCAGTATTGGTGACCGGGATGTCAAGACGCTGAAGGATGGCGAGTAAGTAGCAGTCCCCCGTTTTATGAGCAACAAAAAAAAGGGGACTTTGGTTGACGGACAGCCCACATCCCCGAGAATGCCGCAACACATGTCCTTGATGATGCAGTTCCCGAATGTCTTCCGCGATGCCATGAAGGAGAACATCAGATATGGCCTGTCAGACGCCACCGACGACGAAGTAGAGTCGGCTGCCAAAGAAGCGGGCGTCCACGAGGTCATCATGGGTTTGAAGCCCGACTTCTACGACACCGTGCACGGCACAAAGAGGGGTGCTTAGAAGGTTCGGCAGGACTGTCAAGCACTTTGGTCAAAGGCGCAGCTATCCGGACTTCTGAGAATTCTTGGCAGACTTGAAGGATATTTCAATCCTGACTTTGCCGCTTCATTCGGAGCCGCCTGACATCTCATCGACTTTGATATGTCTATCCCTGAGAACATGGATCTCCTCTAGCACGTCTCTCAGCTAACGAATCCGTCAATTCTTTGTCCGCAACCAATATTTCTGTCTCGGCAGCATGACTGATGGTTCAACAAAGGCTTTCCACGTTGTGCCAAACCTTGTGCATACTTACTGGACCAAGAGGCAGAGATTAGCCACAGGAGCGTTAGTGCAGCCTGCAAAGAAGGAAGCGGTCAGGCTAATAGATAGATAAATAAATCCAGTCCCGTCCACGAGAAAATCAATTCTTACTCCAAAGTGACAAGATTCTCTGTTGACCGGACGGGTCTTCTCAAATAAAAAATTGGAAAAAATGAGAAAAACAAAAAAAAAAAAATTTCCTGAGGAAGGTTGGGAAATTAGGTTGGGAAGTTAGTGGTGGGGGTGATGGTCCAAGTCGAAATTTTGTTGGTTTTTGAGTAGGTTTTTGAGAGATATGACGTCAGAAGTTGGTGCTTGTTACATCAGATTGGTGGATAATCTTGAGAGTGGGTCCACATTACTAGCGTGATCTACATTAACACAAGCACTTGGTGCGAAGAGGGCCAAGAGGGACTCTGCGAGAGTCACTCACTCACGGCACCTGGAAAATAAAGTGAATGCACCACCACATCACCACACATTACAACTCCTCCACTGGCTGTGTGCTGTTCAGAGAATACGGAGCGACAGTCGTCAAAACGAGTCGAAATGTATGATCAGTCCAAGCGTGGTGGGATTGACAGAAAGATGTTGTTCCTTGTTGAGTTCGCTAGGAGAAGCTACGTGCTGCCTGACTGACCGTGAATGCCAAGGCTAACCACACGTGACTTCCATGTCTAACCGTGAATACCAAGGCTTACCACGCTTACCTTCCGTAACTAACCGCGGGTGCCAAGGCTTCCGTGCCTACTTCTGTGACAGTTATACAGCACTGAATGAGCAGTCACAGAGCGAGGCAGTTAGAGTGGGGATGGAATTCTGTCACCTCTAGGTGCCTAGCCTGGGTTTATTTCCATTCAGGCGAACTATTTATTTCCTAAAGATGCTCTTTTACTTGGATTTATCTCCCAACCTACAATACAACACGCATCCCGCCACAACTAGCAAACAGAAAGGTATTATCTCCAGTGCTCCTCCTCCCCCTTCCTCTTATAGTGTACTGTGTGACTAACTTTCAGATTCAGACGCACAACACTTTGCCGAAACACGATGTCGTCCAGAAAGAGAAAGGCCTCAGCAGTGACGGCGGCCGAGATTCCGGATGATCTCTCCACCCAAGACTTCTACAAAGCCCTGATCGACTACTTTTCGTCGCCAAGAGACTCGACCGCGACTTTCGGCGGTTCCATCGCCCTTAAGGATGTCGGTCAGCTCCTAAAGGGGGGAGACCACCCTCTAAGCCAGGCCGGCGGTCCAGGTAACAAGGCTAACAAAGGGGAGAAAAATAAGTCGACTCCAGCGCCGGCATCGATGGCAGGGGCAGACCCACGTCCTATCGTGATCCGCTGGGACCGCACCGAAGATTCAGCGGCTAAGCTAAAGTTCCCGATCAAGGACCACACGGAGACGTTCGAGGACCTCGTGCGCGACTATCAGTCTGCCGCATCTAGGTCGTAAGGACAAGACGTAGACGACGTAGGCGCGGGCAAGGCATCGTCCATAGATAATTCCAGGTTCTCCACCAATCTTTATCCATATAAGTTAGGCATCATGCCTCGGATTAAGTAGCTTTTACTACCTAACATTGTAGACATCGGGCGCGGGAGCGTTAACGACGGAGGCTCTATCGTAGCCAAGATGGCTAAGATCATCGTAAGTAGGGGGACGAGAAGAGCATGCGGCCTAAACCTTTCCACTAGCCGTCATGCGGGTTATCTTAGATGACGCTAACGTGCTGCGTACGGTAGGTGTATAAAGGAGCCCCGGGCTCCCTTAAGAGCGATTCCGAACTCCCTTCTAGTAAGGCGCCGTTTAGGTCACTAATTCTATGCCTACCGAGCCCGTATAAAGGTGGTAAGCTAACTATAAGCTACCCCGAGGGCTACAATAAGACGTATAACTGGAAGACAACGTCAGAAAGCGAAGCCTTACATTAGGCCGCTTTTTCCAGTGATTACGATACAGTGGTCTCGGGAGAAGTCGTGATGCTGGAGTATAAGCTGTACTACGAGCTACGAGCCTATCGTGAAAAAGACTCTTTCTCCGGACTGAGCTGTAGTACGGCGCTGTGATGGGTTGAACCCAGAAGGAGGCTCGGTTCTGACGAACCAGCGCCAAGACTAACGACAGGACTAACGCCACCTCCTGATTGGCTAAATTTACCTGTACATTGTACAGGCAAAATGCCGCCTCCTGATTGGACGAGGCACGTACCGTGTAAGGGATACCGAATCCTGGCAAACTGAGACACCGTACGCAAGGGAAGGTAAGGAAGAGAGACAAAAGGCAAGGGAAACGCAAGGCGTGTACGAAAGAGGAAGGACAAGGGAGAAAGGGGAAGACAAT